TAAATAGTTTGAAAGTTTCTTTTGAATTGGTTCAATTAAATTTAAATTCTTCCTAGTGATTTTCCTGCTATAGTTGTTAAGCAGGGCCTACTACTTCGTATTCACTTTCAAGTTATAACGAACATTAAAATCTCATATTGTAGTTAGGTTCTACTAACTCTATAAGAATTCTCAAGTATCCTACTTACCCATAAGGATTACAAGAATCTATCAACAATATTTCTACTCACTAAAGTTTTATGTTTTAACCTAGTTGTGCTTCAAGTCTTCTTTTGATAATCCTATATTACAACTATTTTAACTATTTAAATGGTTAGTTTGAATGTAAATTAAGTTTTGAATATTAAAAATCTTCATATACGAGTTAGAAAATCAAACAAGATATCCTTCAAGATTTCAAAAATTTTCTATCCTAGAGAGAGATTTTACATGGCAAGCATTATTTGACATAAAAACATAACTTGGATTTATTATATCAAACTAAAATGGAAGACTAAGGAATGCAAAATCCAATATAAGGCAATTCTTGTTCCCAAATTTTGATTGTCTCTACAAAATCCTTGCTTGCTTGATTAAAATCACTCCTTTCCTTACTCACCCACAAAAAAAATAATAATAATACTCTCACAAACAATCACTCCCGCACAAATCCTTGACTTCAAGCTGCTTGAACATTTTCCCTATGCTCCAAGAGCATATGAGAGTGCTTCTCATGAGAGTGTCACGTATCCAAGTGTGTGTCTCTATATGTTCGATAGTGAATTTTAGATATTTTAAACCTTTATTTCATTGAGATGTCAAAGATGCCACTAAAATTATCTTAAGTTAGTGGGAGGCATGATGACACTACTAGTATGGGGCGTGATAGCACTGAATTTTGTGAGTTGGATCATCAATTTAAGGCTTATAGTGTCACACGTTGATACTAGTAGTGTGGTGAAGTTGGCACATAGTGTTTGGGAGCTTAGGGTCTAGTGTTGAAATGTCATGCGCTCTTTTCTTTTTTGTTGAAATTGGCTACATCGGTGTTGAGGTGCTCATTTGGGTAGCACTGAGATGATGTTCCTCTAGCACTGGGGTGCTTAGCTCTAAGCTCAAGAATATCTTCTTCTTTATAATTTCATGTATATGACATGTTCTACCACTGAGCCGTTACACATTATTGTCGGGCACTTGCCTATTGATTTAGCCTATTTTGTCCTTTAAGTGCTTCGAGTCCTGAATTTTTTTATAAACTACAGATGACACTACATATGCCCCCAAAAAGGATAAAAATGATAAATAAAGGTTATGAAAAATCAGTTGAATATATCACCAAATTTTATACACCTCAGGTACATTTGTTGATGGATGTTGGATGTTATGGGTGAATGGCAAAGGAAGATATTGATCATAATAAGGAAATTTATATGAGTATTTTCAAAGGAGAACTAAGCAATCTATCAAACATGGGAGAAACTTAAACATGCAAAACATAAGTAATGATTGATTGAAGGTTCTAAATGGTGATCAAAGCAATGAAATTCTCTATGAATTTTGAATTTTTATAAATTCATGTGTGCCAAAATGATGAGAAAAAAAAAATTTTTATGAAATTTAATCATTATCTAAATTTAACATGATATTTTTTGACTTATTAACAATGGACACACCAAATCCATCTTCACGTGATTAATAAATGACCAAATAATCTCTACCTTAGGACTGCTCCATGGATGTACGACCAACCTGTCGTATACTTAGTATTTTTGGAGGAACAATTTTAAATCTAAAATAGGTATTATAAATTTTATAACTTGAGTTTTTCCACAATTTAGCACTACGCACTAACTATTTAACGCAAGCATACATGTCGTCAAGTAGTATCTGATTTTTGAGTCCAGTGTATCAATCCCACAGGGAAGGCTATTATTTTAAAGGTTTAAGAAAAATTCTAACCTACAATAATAAGCCTTAGCTTGGAAGTAAAGTCGATTTAAATTGTACTTATAAAATTCTACCAAATTATCACTAAACTTAATGATTTACTCTAAAGTTAATTTTACTGAAGTTAAATAAGTCAAGAAAGATCGAGTTATGAAAAATATCATCCTCTTACAATGAAATAAGTAATTTGTGTCGGAATTGAACACCTAGGATATAAATTGTAATTAGTGACAAATAGGAGCATTACTCTTATTTACCTTCCTTCGAGTGCATAAAGAAGTTTGGTTTAACTAGGAATGTTTTTTTGTTTGTCACCCTAGAAACTCCAAGTTACCCCCATCAAAACCTATCTCTCTATCTATTTGCACTGCCCTATGGACTATTTTTTTGTCGCCCACTAGTGCAATGTGGTTTCTACTAGTTGTTAAAGTCATAGCCCTCTCGAATCATTATGGATTCGCAACAGATTTTAACATACAAATTGGCCATATTGAAAATTAAATGAAGCATGAAGTAAAAATCATCACAATAATGAATAAAATTTATTCTAAATGTGTCCACATATCCGACACATATTACTACTGCATCATAAGAGAAAGGTAAAAAGAATCTACTCAAAATGCATGAAGAAAACACAACAATCCATTATCTTATAATAAAGGAAATTCATACACAATGAGTCTATAATTAATATAAGACCATATAGAATGAAACACTTATTTTTTTTTACCTAAAAAAAGAAGTAAAAACTCCTCCCCAAATAATGAACAAGTGTTCCTTGCACTGCTTACAACAATCCTTTGCAATTTCTTATCAATTCACTCTAAGAAAATGCAGAAAAATACAAAATCTCACGTTAAACTCTCATTTCCTGCACACATAGACTTTTTTATTTGACTTCACAAATGTTTCTCCTTTGTTAGAACTGCTTCTCCCCATTCATAACCTCCAAATTTGTCCATAACTGCTACAAAAATTTCTCAGGTTAGTTCTAGCGCCTAGGTGCCAGTCTGTGGTGCTTAAGCACCACCCTCTCTGGTAAGTAGGGAAAATAACTGGCGCATAGGCACCAGTCTGTGGCGTCATGGCGCCGAGTTATCTATTTTTTGAACATCAATTGGCGCCTAGGCACCCATCTGCGGCTCCATGGAGCAGCACCAAGGCACCAGAAGCTGGGGCCTAGGCGTTGATCTGATATTGCTCCATTGCTCCATTTGCCTCATTTTTTGCTTTATTTCAGTCCAATTTGCTCCAGATCTCCTATCTTTTATGCCTACAACACAAGCATGAAAATACCTTCTTTTAAAGACAATTTCATCAAAAATAAGTGTTTTATATAAAGGAAAAATAGAATGCTACAAGACATGTTAATGTACTCAAACTATGGCTAAGTCAAATGACCAAACATTGCACCAAAATGTTCGTACTAAACATTGATGATGAAGAAACCTCTTATTAGTAAACAAAATGCAACATGTAAAATTGTTTGATGCTACAAATTTATTAGATTTAATGGGCAAAAAATTCAGTGATAGGATTGTTTGAACAAGATTAAGATCATATGTTCAATTTTAATGTCACTGAAAAATAGTAGCGACTAGGACCAACACCACATCTCATGATTTACTCACAATATCCATGAAATTTAATATCATAAAAATGAAATGAAATTTTAAAATTTGGATTTAATGCATCTAGTGCTTCAAATACCTTACAATTTTGTCTCCTGCATAGGTTGTAAGGATTTCATGAAGTTTAGATTTTAAAATTGTGTATGACAAGCAATACTACTCAATCAATTTAACTACGATCCATTTGTCTAATTCTTTCGATTGTATAAAGATCAACAAGCTGAGAAAGTGTTGGTGAAGTTGATGGTTGTTACATGTGAAGGAATAATGAAGAGTGTGTAAGGCAATTTATGGACCCCACATTTTTTTTTAATGAAAGGTGAACTCAAAAGGCAATATGTGTGATTCATACATGATTATGAGCCCAACTTATTATATCTAAATTAGGTCAATTTTTCATCAAAATAAATGAATTCAAGTTATTTTGAACTTTTCAAATTCATCGTCACTATATGCTTATTTACGTTATCGAAATTTAAATACTTATTAGAAACAAAAAAAAAAAACAAAAAATTTGAAGTATTTAAAACCCTTAAAATAATTTTAGAAAATTTTAAATAAAATCTAAGCTCTATTTTCTCTGTCATTTGAGCAAATTTGATGATCTTGAAATGACAAAACTACCTTTAATAGATAGCTATTTGAATTATACATTCATTAAATTTAAAATTTATATCACCTCCAAATTAATACAATTAAATTCCTGAAATCTTACCATTTTGTAACTAAGACTTTGCATGAAAAATCATACTTTGATTTAACCAATTTTACAAGTCCAACAGTTACATATAGCTCTTAATGGTTACATACTACCACCCCGTCAAGTTTTTTTTTTTTTTTTTTTTTTTTTTTTGGCAACAAATCCAAATAATAATTTAGTCCAGCCAATTTAGTTTTGCTTTGATTAAACTAAATTTCATTGATATGAATTATTTATAATGCATAATTCATAAGCAATAAACAATAAACATATTTGAAATTATATGATGAAAAGAACAAATAATTTTAATTTTTTTTTTTATAAAAGCATGGTTAGAATTCTAAAATTTAATAGCCTGAGTTAAAATTGATGGCCCAGACTGACTATCAACATTATTTCACATTAGCTTGCAACATAAATCTAAAAACAAAAAGCATAAGCAAAAAAATTAAATTAAATTTTATATAATTTTATATTAATGCTATTATTACTCTGATTTTTGGTCTTAAGTACTAGATATGCAAATACATAAGAAATGTGTGACATGAAGAAACCCCTTAAAAAATGAAGTCACAAATTCATAAACCAACAGTCCTTATCCTAATTTCAACTTGTCAACATTCAAAATAGTGCAAAATTAATCTCATCACTAAACAGAGAGCTCATAGATAAGATTGAATCAAAATACAGGCCAATTGAAATACAATTACTGATGAACCAAATGATTTTCTACACCTTCAACTTGATTCATTCATTTTTATTATCATCAAAGTAAGAACTAATGCTTCCTCTTTATTAGCATTGATGCTCAAATTTAAGCCCTCCGAAAGGCTAAGTTCACAACCAATAGGTACATGTTGTAAATGAATGCTTCTTTTCGATGAGCGTAGTTAATGCGCTTCTTCGAAACAGGTGTGCTGTTCTTGTCGTCAATATAGAAAAAGAAAAGAAAGGATGAGAAACCCATTTTGCTGCTACAATGTTGCAAAAATAGGTTCTGTTTGTATTCAATTATTTTCTCGGCTCGCCAATTCATCGTTTGTTGAGATTGTTGTGGTATCCTCCATCTCTTTGATACAGGAGGGCCTCAGAAGAAATAGTTTGGTTGAAATGCCTCTTGGGAAGTTAAGCAAGCATGATCTTCTGCTCCAGTGCTCCTTAGAAGAACCCAAGTGGCTCAAGTACCCCATTTGTTGCTACATTTATCAGCTCCATTGCTCTTTACTTGCGAGCTAAACCAAGGCAATATTTAAAACTGAGGACTTCTGGTTATCAATTAATAGTTTTTTAATTTTGTTTTATTTTATTATAATAAAAACATGATTTTTTCTAAATATTCAGAATATTTTTTAAGTGTTTTGAGTAGTTTTTTAAATAAATAAATTTATTTTTAAAAATTAAATATAAATACATTAAAAAAATGTACTACCAAATACGCTTTTAAAATACAAACAAAAAACTAATAACAGAAATGACAAACAAGCCCAAAACTGTTTGATTACTAGGAAAACTGGAAGAAGCCTGTCAAGTACTATCGTAGCGTACCCAGGCGAGGGTAGAATCGGAAATTCCCAAAAATACATGAAAAATCAAAAAGACCTAATATGACAGAAAAATCAAAAAGACCCTCAAAAAAATAACCAGCATATTTAAGAGAAATTACAAAAAAGGACAAACTGTTTCAGATACTTGGCGAGACAGACTAGTTTAACAATCGCCACAACATAGCTGCGGTAAAGTGACAAGTCACAGCTATAGATCCATGAAAAAAGCTTAATAGGAGTAGAAGGAATATTAGAACTATGCTTCAAATTTTTAGGGGCATTTACATACATACCACATAATTTTTATGTATTTACATATCTAACATCTAAAATACTCGTATTTACATGCATACACTGAAATCTCCAACATCACATCAAAAATATCACCAACACTAAATCTTAAAATGTAAAATAATAGATTTATGACACCATAGTGTTATAAGCGTAAATATCAAAATCTGGTGTTATATATGTGAATGCATGAGAATTGTATGATGGAAATTTTCCTAAATTTCATTGTGCTATTTGAACTCAATAAAAGGCTTTACTTATTAAGATGAGAGGATATATCGATATTTAAACTTACACAAAATTTTGCCTGCTTTTAAGATGTATAAGCGGCAAAAAAACATGCTGAACTTCTATTCTTGTAACACCACCGCACAAAATAGAGAGCACTTTCACATGAAATAGTACCAAGTTGAGGAAATTTCGGAGAAGTGCCTGCGGGCTCCAGTGATCAATCTTTGATCAACATCATCACCTAAAATAATTCTGCACAATTCAAACCAGCAAATACTTCTGGTTTATGGAATTGTTAGCCTGGAAGAAATTATATTGATTAGCTTCATCAGACCAATGGATGAATGGATTGATAAACATGAAGAATGTGCTGTTGATGATCATATTTCGAACACCCTCTAAATATATATGATGATGATGCCTCATGAAATGACAATAGCATCACCTGCCCATGATGAATCTGAGAACACCATTCTTTCAAAATGTCATGAAATGAGCATAAAATTAATTAAAATATGAGTTGCATCGTCATGCAGGTCAAAGATGTTTAATGATTTGCACATTAAAAACTCATCATTAGCTACATACTGAACATGAAAACCATAAATGATATTGTTCATGTCTAAGATGGCAATGAAGGTTATAAAATAGGTTCATAACAGCTACAGTAGATGGCCTTGAACAATATGGCAATGGCATGAGCTCCAGTGCAGACAAACAAAGATGCTGATGATATAATGCAGTGAGATGCAGCAACATGGTTCTGCAAATCGATGCCTATATTGACTGTCACCTTCATGGGAAAGCACAAAGAGCAGCACGTTGCTTCAATTGACAGCTAAGTTGATCCTTTGGTTTCTGCAGGAGTGCCATTCAAGTCCTTCCGTCGCCCAAAGGGATTTTTTGAAAACTTACAAAGGAGTAAAGGAGAAGACAATCAAGTCATAGCAAAATCAAAAACATACTGTTGTAAGAGCCCTCCACCTTACAAAATTTAAACAATAATAATAAGGCACTTTTTAAACTAAAGTAGATAAAAATAGGAAAGTGACAAAATATTCCCCAACTATTTATATGGGGTCATTTTAGTCCTAGAATTCATAGAAGTGCTAAAATAATCCCAACTATTTTAAGATTATGCTCTAATAGTCCTCCATTTGAACTATTTCAGCCCCAATTTAAGGAATTTGGGGACTATTTTAGCATTTCTACAAACTCTGGGACTACAACAACCACATGCAATAATCAAGAACAATTTTGGCACTTTACTCATAGATAAATATCACAAAATTCCAACTTTTGCATGGTATCTATATGATAGATTTTTCATTTCATTTTGACATTGTTGGAGGGAATATTATTTACATAAAGAAAAAGAACGGACATGTACTTTGGCTATTACACAGTCTAGGATGAAAGAAACAAGAGATACATGTATATATATATATATATATATATATAGATATATATAATATATATACATGTATCTCTTGTTTCTATTATATATATATATATATATATGACTTCTTTTATAAGTTTTAATCTCTAATGGCCTCCCACTTTGCCTACCTAAACCTTCAACATTAATTTTATTAACTCCCCTTATTAGTATATCATCTTTTACCCTCTATTGTATAAGTCAAAATCAAATTTATTTTTCACTATCTTATCATTATAAATCATGATATATCTAATTACAACTATTCTTGATGTATACGTCTCAATTATATCGCAATTTTATCTTAATAGTCTTACTTCTACCAAACTAAAGTTGACTATTAATGTTTTAAGCATTCAGTACTCGATTCCATAGAGCACGGTATGCCTAATTATATTTTTTTCCAAAATTTAAATTACATTCTCCATCAAATTCTTTTATCACAAAAAAGTCTTATATCACTCCCCTGAAACTGCATACATGTATTTTGCTTTTAATCCTAAGACCATTAATTTCTAAATTTTTTCCTCCTTTATCATAACTTTTCATTTGTTCAATTGAAATCTCACCAATTATAACTACGATATACAAATAGCATATGCTGTCTTATTCCAGTTTAATATAATTTGTAAAAAGATCTACAAACATAATGTCAATCCACTGTAATCCAATTGTAAATGGAAACTCTTTAGATGCTTCATTGCTGCTTTTAAAGTTGATCAATGTTTCATCGCATATTTTTAATAACGATTCTTAATACACAACTATAAAAATGCATGCATACATGCACAACTATACAAGCTACAATGCCACCATCAAACAATTAAAAAAAACACAACATACAGTTGAAAAACGAACATAACACAAATATAAACAAAAAAATAATTATCGTCAAGAAATGACCAAAATATCATAAAATAGCATGATTCACCTGCCTCAATATGAAATAGTTGACTACCCTTTCTTACCGAAATTAAGAAAAGAAGAAAGCTGTTTGTTGTACCAATTAGAGTATGTAGCCAATCATTTTGAAACTTCATAATAAAATATACAAATTAGGACTACAATGAAAGAATGAAAATTCCAATAGGAAGTTTCAGGATTGGTTTGTCACTTCATGGATTTGGATCCTCTACAATTACTAAGGTAATTACATGTATACTGTTGTGATGATTGAGTTTGAATCTATCAAAACTAGAATGATTTTCAAAAATTCCACTGAATTCAATCCAAACATTCCATCATGGAATGCACGATTGGGCTAGGTAACGCAATTTCCATGACAATTAAAAAAGATCCGGCTCTAATGTCCTAACCATGCTTCACGGTTGCCAACGCAGTAGATTCAACTTCCTCTTTTATATTCAAATTAAGCAGATCAATTATTAAAAAATTCATAAGCATCAATAAAATAAACGAAAGGATATTGGATCCTGATGCCAGTGTGACCTGCACTGGGTAGAACAGCACCTTGTAGTTTTATGTGAACACCCGTAGCACTAGCTACATCCTGCACAGATTAAAAAAATTGATATTGTGACTTTAAATGAATATGTATGATCTCTTAGAAATCAAATAAATTTAAAAAAGAAAAAACAAGTAGGACATGTAGAAGACTTCACCGCTTACATCGAATTCAATAAAGCACACAGTGCTTCTATCATGACGCAAGATCTTCATTTGTTTATAACCTGGTTGTCTGTTTACATAAGAGTAACAAATAATAAAACTAAAATCATACATACCACCATCAAAAAGGTTAGGATTTCTAAAATCCCAACTTAATCGAAGAACTACAGAATCATTATTCAAAGCAGATTCTATTAGATTTAATTAACATCCCCCTTTGGTGCCCACCTGACCTCGGCTGGACCGAAGGAAAATCAATACGGAGAAATAGGGCATTCTCCATTAGATAATTTTAGAATGTATGGCTTGGAATTGTTTTTTCTGGAATTTGGGTGATGATAAAGAGGAGTTACATGTAGATAATATAAGTAAGGTCAAAGGAAGTTGAGGGGCTTAAACAGTCAATAAATCATTCTAAAACTGTAAGGAAAAAATAAATATGAATTTCAAAAAATTAGAGACGAGAAAAAAAAAAAGTATATACGCGCTAAAGAGGCCTCTCAGTTCTTCCTCTGTCACATTTTCTCCAAGATTTCCAACAAACAGAGTATTACAAGGAGGATTGTCTTTTGTATTCTGAAAAAGAAGAAAAAAACACATAATAAAATGCTAAACACGATCACTTTCTAGTAACAAAAGAGCACAAAAATATATACATGAAACATGAAATCGGAAACTTTATATACCATAATAAGCAATTAAAAGACATACCACACATTATAGCACCCTGAAATAGTTTTTTAGCAGAAATTACCACCCTCTAATAGACTACCGTTCTCTAGAATCAAGTGAACTAATGCTCGGTTTAAAGTAAATAAATTCTTTTCCCTCGCATAATTCAAGTTATAAAACAATCAGGAGCAAGGAAGCTTTTAAAATCATCGTGAGCCTTAACCCAATTACTTGAGGTTGACTTTATGAATATTCACACTCCAATCATTCTTATTGAGGGTTCCTTTTAAATGTCGAATTTATTTTGACATAAAATTTTTTGAACATCTATCCATACTACCACCTATCACTTGGTTGATTGGCACTACTTTAGTTCTCTAAAGTAAAGGTCTAAGATTTGAAATGTTGCAAAAATATAAAAAAAGAATTTACACATGTTACCCTTAGCCTACCTCAGCCTTCCACGTTCATTTTATGTATATCCATCTTTCTAAGTCTTTTCTTTACTAACATATCTTAGGTTAAGAATTTACTCAAACAATCCATCACATGCAATCATCTCCATATCTATCCATACAAATTTTTTCATTCATCCACCTATTAGTTTCATTTCCCACAATCAACTTAATAATCACTGACCAAATTACTACACAACAACTTCATCATTTCTTCTCCTCTCTCTCAGTTTGTATTCATTATATTTTCATCTTCATTTTTATTTGCAGAGTTTTCCTTTGTTTTCTTATCACTTTTAATTATATATTAGGGATTTTTTTAGTTATTGGTTATTGAACATGGTGAGAACTTATAAAAATAATTTAATGGAATACGAGGGGAGCCATAGAAAGATCTGGCATGAAAATATAACGTTCAAGTGCTAACTCTAGTGAATGGGAAAGCATATTTATCATAAATGCAATTACTTTGTGAAAGAAAGTAAAGCCTTACAAAAATTAAAGAATAGTGTCTCAATTATCACATAAAAGATGCACCATGTAGCAATATATTGGAATAAATGGAAAGAAGTTTGCACTTGCTAGGAGAAAATAGCCAAGTAAGAGTGGCTCAGATCATTCAAGCAAATATATACATACCTACATATATATATATATATACCTACATATATATATATACCTACATATATATATATAGGTATGTATGTATGTATAAGTAATGATAGATAAAGGAATAGTCGGAGGTTATGATACGAGCCATGGTCATCCCTCATACGCCTATAATTCGATAACCACAACCTACACTCGGGGATAATCGAACCTCAGACCAGAGCATACTTGCAACTAACAAGCAACATATATATATATATATATATGTGTGTGTGTGTGTGTGTGTGTGTTCATCTCTCTCTCTCTTTCTATATATATATATATATATATATATATATAAATGATGGTTTCTTTTATAGATTGATATATTGATAAATGACAAGAAAGAAAACGATTACATTAAGGGGGAAACCCTCCTTTAAGAAATATGAGTCTTTTACATGGCAACTTATCCATACTAGATGAAATACTATCCAATCGGTTAATATGGAAGGTATTAAACTCTTTCCATGCATAAACTTAAAATAAAAATGAAAATTACTGCAAGGCTTAAAAACTAAAAAGTACAAAGTCCTTCATGTTTTAAGAATGGTAGATGCAAAGATAAAGCAAGTGATAGGTTTCATCAATAATGTTATAGAGCAGACAAAGGAGATGATATTAAAAGACTTGGGTAGGAGGAAATCCACAAAGAAATTAAAAGGACTATAGATGAGAAAGGAGAGTTTAACTTGTATTGATATTTAAAAAAAAAAAAAAAGAATTAATTGGATTATCAGAAGCTGAACAAATTACAGCCAAGCATTCCCTTAAAGATAAATCCTTGTTTCTATAGACATTAGTTTTTATCATAATAAGTTAAAATTTTAATATTTCTACATTATGCCCATCATTTTTTTAATAAGTTAAATTTGCAGATGATGCTCACAAATTAGTAAGATATAAAATCAAAGAATTAGATGTCTGTCTTCAATATATGAGCAAAATGGAGCAATTAAAATCAAGCTCATACCATGAAAGAAATTATCAGCTCACATAATATATTGTTGAGATGAGTGAATTAAATAAATGCAAATTTTATCTTTAAAAAATCTTCTATTTTGTAGTTTATTATAACTAATAAAAATATTTTTTGCAGGAATTTCTACAACAACAACAACAACAACAACAAAGCCTTAATCCCACTACGTGGGGTCGGCTACATGAATCCTTTTTCTCCATTGCGTCCTATTTAGTGTCATATTTTCATTTAGTTCTAGTAAATTAAGATCATTTTCAATACAATAAGCCCATGTCTTCCTAGGTCTACCTCTGCCTTTCTTAACACAAGTCGAATTTAAAACATCTACTCTCCTAATCGGATCATCTAATGGTCGACGTTTAATATGACCAAACCATCTAAGACGACTTTATTCT